TTCCACACTGTATTTTTGGTACAAGTATGGAATTTTCGGCATGGAGATAGGTAGCCCAAATTTCGCAGGCCGACCATAGATATCACGTGTGCATCGGCAGGTCAACAGGTTTCCTCAGTGATGCCGCGTAATGTCTCCAACTTTACTCTGATCTGATCGGTAATGAAAGTGTCCCTTGCAGTTTTGTCCCTTGACTGGATGACATATACCTATGTAAATAAACCACATCACCACATACTAGAATGTTTAACTTCTTAGTTGTCCTTTAACTGTGTTATTAAGCGCCATCCTGCCTTTTGTCAATTTCTTCGAAACTACAAATGCCAACTACATTTCGATACTTTCTCCCAACACACTTTATACTGTTGTATTTAGTCGTATAGCAACAATTTTCCGCTGAATAGATTCCACTTTAACCCTGTTATCTTTCTTAATTTGTAATCAATAACGAGTTGTCGCCCATTGTTCCTCTCTATTTATATACCAAACAAATATTCAGTATAGTAATTTCTGACTTTTAAAATGCTGATTGCATCTATTTATTGCATATCTCTAGGTAAAACGAAGACTGATAGAGGCTAATATTTAGTGAGTTTGTGTTTCTATAGTAGTGAAAAAAGTGAAAAGGACAGAAGAAATTGTATTTTTCAGTTTTATGTTTAAATAGAAGCCTACTGCCTTATTTGTTGTTTAACTGCTTTTAGTTGCTTCTATTTTCGTTTGAATAATTACACGTTTTAGCATGAGTAGTGAAGTAAGATGAAAATAAAAAATTTCACTTGTATTTGTCGTTTCACAGTGTATATAATTTTTTTTATAAATGTGTACACAAGCGTAGGTCAACATAATTGTCAACAAACACTTCAATTCTAATCAACAATTTGTCTATATTTTTTGGTATTTTGTTCTAAGAATAATTTACACAGTTTAACTAGCTTAATTATTTTTCTGCACAATTTCAAAGTAATATGGATCACTAAAGCTTGACTATGTGTTTCTTGTGGGTTTTTTAAAATTTTATTCCTTTAAATTCCCAGTGGGGCATACGGCCTTAAGCTAGAGGCTTGAAGTTTCGGTAGCACTGGTGTTCACTTTTATGGGCGGTGGTTGTTAGCTTCACGTCCAGCTTTGCCTCTATATCAGTCTTATTACTGGCTTAGCGAGGTACAGCAGTGTGTCGGCTGGAGACCGAATCCCGGACCAAATGCATGGTTGGCAAGAATTCCACCGCTATGCCGCCGACGCACATATATTATCAAGGTGAGGCACATGCATATAGCGCACAAATCTTGCACGAAACCATTGGGTTGCGTACTATCCCATCGCCCTTAGCAGGTATGGCAACAAAAGTCACTAGAGCATCATCAGAATATATGACAGGTTAGGTGAATAGAAACAGATTTTGCATTGGTTACTCGCATCCAAAAATGTCCAATTTTAATTTTATAATTCAACAGTGAATTGCTTTGCTTGTGTCACCTCTTTCAGTTAGTTTAAAACAGTGTTAACTAGTGAGTGACAAACTGTTTGGTGTCTTAATACGAAACTGTGTTTAGAAGAAAATGCGGTTGACAGTAGATGATAGTCATACTGCATTGCAGACTGATAATGCGTTTTTGAAAGTGTAGATAATTTACTTCTTAACCAGGTACTGAACTGCGGCACACTAATTTGACTTCTAAGTAATCCAGATTCCATTTTATAAGTCATCTGAATCTTTCCAAATTTAACACAACCTAGGACACGTAATCGGACGGCTACCAGTTCTCAGTACCTTTTGCGTTGCTACAAATGGTTTTGAATTCTCTTATATTGACTGACTTAATTAATAACGTGGAACTTTCCCCAAAAATGTAATGGACAATAAATTGTGTCTGAAACGTCATCCAGTAAATAATATTACTTCACTGAATGATAAAGGCAATAAACAAACCATTGTGGAATTGAAGCAGTCCAGGTTGACATGGTACAGCTGACAAAACATAAACCTAGAGAAGAAATCTGATCAAGTTACAATAGACGAAGATGCATGACAGCGAGGAAAATTTAGTGAAGATGACGCAACAATTTTAGGATCTGAATAGTGATGAGGAGTTAACACATCTGCACCGCCGTAAAGTATGATATAAATTACTGTCACTTCATTATCTTCGGGATCGTTCATCTAACTATATTTTATGTGATCCCAATAATTTCAACAACAAACAAGAAACTAGAGTTATCACCTTTGACAACTGCTACTTTTTGTCATTTGAAAGATGACATTTTAGCAAACAAACACTTAGTCGCTTCATTTCTGAGATATTGATGCTGATTGTAAAGAATCCACCTTTCTATCCAGTTAACCTTTTGTTATGCTGTTCATTGGCGATCCGGAGGCATTTTTCTGTTCCAAGAGCAGTCTATTGAATAAATATTTTTTTTATTAGATCAAGCTTAACAAATGCATTCTTCCCTGTCTCATGCTTTCATGAATAATACACAGGTGAAAGTGTATCACAAGGATATGGAAGAAAACTAAGTGTGATAGCATTTAATACACCATTAAATCATGATACAACACATAAGGAAAAGATTCTTAAATGCACAAGCAATAATAGTGCCCAAGATACATACATAATTTTACATCAGGTTTTTTATTAGCATACATTACACAATATATTTTCGGATAAAATCATCCTACCTAATGCGGTTAGGATATGTGGATTGAGGTTAAAAAGGGACGTAGACTGGGAGATGATTCAAAGTACGAAGAAACTGGTAGATTTCAATTTCCATTACTAATCAACATTAAGTGGGCATAACTAAAACTGAGGCAGGTTTGAAAATATATTCCACTAAGCTTTGGAACTTCTCAGAAGCACGCACACACGGTATATATATATATATATATATATATGCAGTCAGCTGCTAATCGTATTCTGTGAAATACTAATCAACCAATAGTAACACTAGTTTAATTGTTATCTACTTTTATCTACTCATAAACAAATCTCTGGTTGAGTTAAGTCAACTACATAGGTCAAACTAGTAGATCGTGAGTAGTCGGATTGGCGGAACATAGGAATTTAGCGAAGACTAGAATGACTGACCCCACGAAGATGAGTAATTTAGAAAAAAGCTCATCAGTTGTACTGTATGTATGCATCAACATACAACCACACAGTAGGGTGGGAAAGGGTTAAAATTCTAAAAAGTAATCTAGATAAGTGGAGAGAGAGGTTGATTACTGAATCTTTGATCATAGAATTTACATCCAACACGTTCAATAGGAATGACTCATCACTCATAGCAGAGATATGGGGAAATACTACTACCAATCAAATCAAGAGGTGAAAAATAATGGAACCATATAAACGAAGTTAGAAAGTTGTGTGAGTACCTTGATATGATTATGATCAATAAATTGTGCTCGAAACTTCATCAGTAAATATTACTGAATAACACTGTGAGACTTTATCAAAATAAATTTGTGCCAAAATGGAATCATACTCTACCACAGTGCACAAGTTCTACTCTAATATCAATGGTACTGAAATCCGACTGAAAAAGAGAAAACCTTCTACTAAATTACCAGTCGACAAAGATAATCCAACTAGAAATTATGTTTCACCACTTCAAGATTTTATTACTGAAACTCCAGATGAATATTCAAATGATTCTCTAAATGACATTACGGCTAACACCAATAATAGGATGCTTTCGGGGAATAAAAATGATTAAATCTACTGGTATAACCAGATGTAAGAATTATAGAGATATAGAAATGATCAAAATAATTTTGGTAAATTATAATCAAGAAATGAAAGTCTAATCAATGAGGAGAAACTTTACTAGATGAATTAAGTCTATATAATATGAACTATCGTCACAAAGAACATATTGTTAATTTACTGAGCGTTTTAGGCGAAATAGAACTGACTTACATACCAAATAAAAAGAAATATGTCGGTTCCAACTTATTCTAACTCTATGAAACATAATTTCGTTCGTCCCAGAAAGTGGTGGTTTGAAATGCACAACACATGCACCAATTACCTAATTCAGTAAACATTCATCATTATCGACTGATCCACTGTCTTCAACAAACAGACTATTTTTTAGTATTAAGATTACTTATTCTGTGCTTTCTCACTACTCAAGGTCAGATGGTCAGAAAAAATTAGCGACAGGGATCTCTGGGAGCTAACCAACCCAGCAGGAACCGATTGTGCAACAAATCTGTAGGAAGAAATGGAGGTGGATTCGCCATACTCCGAGAAAACCACTAAGTGACGTCACACGACAAGCTCTCAAGTGGAACTCGAACGGGAAGCAGCGAGTTTCTCGTCCAAGGGTGACATGGAGGAGGTCATGTGAATAGGAGATGAAAGCATGTGAGCAGACGTGGAGCCAGATTAAGAAGTTTGGCATAGAACCGAACGCAATGGAGATGTGCACCTGAAGCCCTACGTTCCTCTAGGAACTAAAGGAAACAATAATAATAAATAATAATTCCGTGCTTTCAAATAACGGGTACAATAAAAAAAATAAATGTGTTCAGAAATCTGTAATCTTTCACACCAAATTCCAGCAACTACACCTTAACAATAAAATGAGACTAGACAGTACCGTTGAGAAAGTGCACACTTCTCTATACTGCAATTGTGTTTATAACATTGTGAATGTCCAAGTCAAATTTACAACAGTTTGTTAAAATCTGGCTGTAAGATAGTGATATTCATTGTTACATCGATAAAGCAACCACATATATGGGGTGGAATATCATTAACATCAATTCTGATGTGTTTTTAAGTCATTAATAATTACGGATGTCTTCTAGAGTAATAGGTATTTACAATATGCTGCATTACATCCACTTCAACCTCACTGGTTCTTACTTTAGAATTTCTTCATCAAAACTGATTTATCACAAAACACTTAAAAAATATATATGAAGACTTTCACCCCTAAACTATTAAATATTTAATTTATTCTAATTTACTTTTAATATCCTACAGGTGCACGGAAGCGTCTGCATCTTAAAAAGGCACGAAATTTAAAATTAAATTAATCTTATTTGTCAAATGTCAAGCTGAAGATCCAATATGTCAGATAAATTTGTTATTTGTATGTAATTTTAGTAAAGAAATAAAATTGATGAACAATTCTTTTGAAAAATTTCAGTAATGTCTATTTTCGTCCATTCCGGTTTTGTAAACTGCCACTTCTTATACTTTGCATTTAACACAAATGGATATACTGTCTAACAATTGACTCTTTTTTGAATAAACTAGCAATTTGTTTCCTCTTATAATGTACTATTTATATAATTGAGTTATAAATATTATACTTAAAGTAATGTTTAGTAACAAGCATTTATCTTTTTAGGATAAATCCCACTAAGCACATGAGCTTCCAACAAACCAGTTGTAATTTCGTAGGGGAAATACCCCTATCTGACATCGTAAAATAAAACTGAAGCGAAGGTCTGCTAAATCAACTAAAAACAGTCGCCTTTCTCATATTTGTACCATACCTAAAATTCATCTCAAAAGTGGTAATTAAAAAGTAGTTATAGCATGATGAAGAATAGAACTGCTACTTATTATTATGGGTTAGTTTACCGTTGAATGAAAATAAAAACAAACAAAAGTAAATGCATACCTGGAAGATGAATACCATTCATGCAATGGTAATACAATAAGTAATTAACACTAATGATATCACACAAGTTTTCGAAAATATCATGTAAAAATACGTCCGTCAAATTAGTTTGAACAACAAACCCAGATAGTTTTAATGTTCTTAAATGACAATACCATAAAGAAAATAATTGCGTTCCATTCAAAAATTGGGTTTTCGCTTCTTTAGGTCGATTAATCGAAACCAAAGTACCAAAAGCATTTATAAAAGGGGTAGGAAAACATATAACCAGTCTTCTTGTCGAGTAATATTTTAGTCATCAAAAGGTTTACAATAAATAACATCCATTTAGAACATTTTTGATGCACTCAATTGACAACTTTACAATCATACGTACCCTTTACAGCAGCATTATGTACTCACTTTGTGAGGTCAGGAAAATATGAATCACTAATTCTCTTTCTTCGTACCTTCAGGAAAACATCACAGTCCAAGAAGCATCTGCTTGAGAACAGCGCAGGGATTTTCGGAATTTGCTCCAAACGGAAAATTTTATTACTGACCCGATATAACCTTAGCGTCGGGGTGCACGCGTGTGTAACCAGCTTTTTTTAACTCTTAGCAACAATAGGCTTGCTGGTCATAAGGGATTAGTGCCTCTTTTCTTAAATAGCAGGATTTTATTCTAAAATAGCAACTTTAGTTTAGTCAACTTACGCAACGACAGTAATCGCTCTCAATTTTACTGCTAATCAGACGATAGGACCTTTGTAGTGACCCATTTTATTACTCATCTTTCTAGTATACTTTCACTATGTAATTGGACTTTGATTTATTTATCACTCTAAATATTGCGTGTTAACAACTGGTACTTTTGTACTCGCCCAGCTTTTGAATTTCGATTACTGCAATAATACACGTTCGTACTCCTTCTCATGTGCCTTTTGATTTACGTTGTGGACGTTGAGTAAACACAACGTTAGGACACAATAATAAACGCGAAGAAGTACTAGGATATACGTGTACGCGAGTTTGATCAAAAAAAGCACCACAATAAATTGGTGAGCTCGACATAGCTGATCGACGATGTCATTTCGAATTACACACATACTGGATTTAATCATCACTGTTATCGTATTAACTTTGATAACTGCATAACATTTGGATATATATATTTAATGACATTTTGTTGAAAATACTTTCGGTAAGCAGACCATTTTTTAACATTCTTGAACTTACCTATATTCTGTTCTGCTTCTGCTCACTTTCTGTATTTTCACTATCATATATATATATATATATATATATATATATATATATATATATATATATAGATTGTTTTCTACACCTTTTGTAATGTCATTTAATACTGATAACGACACTTCAAGTAGAAGGTCTGTAGCTGCAGTTACCATGTCCATACCACCTTTTAAACCTATGATCCATATTTGTGGTACACTCGCCTAGAACACTACTTCCTAGCTAGCCACGTCACTTCTCAAACTATAAAATTTGGCCATGCAAGCTCCATTTTACCGGATGAAATAGCAGAGCAAGTACGAGAGACGCTCATAAATCCAGATCCAGAAACTCCGTACGATGTTTTAAAGCAGAAGGTTATTAAGCTTGCTTCATTATCAGATCAGAAAGCTATTGATCAGTTGCTGAGCAATGTTAGTCTGGGTGATAAAACACCTTCACAACTCAAAAGCCATATGTGTAAAATTTTAGGAGATCGGTAGACACCAGGTTTTTCTACCAATTCTGGCTGAGGCAGTTACTCCACAACATTCAGCAAGTATTAGCGTTTGGAGATGAAGGAACAGATATCGACAAGTTAGCAGAAATTGCTGACAGAATGTATGGATGGATGTCTCCGCAAGTAACATCTGCAGTCGACAAATCGTCAGATGAACGCATAGAAGCCTTAGAACGTAAAACAGATGTTCTGACCGAGCAATTATTGACAATGAGGTTCAATAGTATTATGTACTCGTCGCCAAATTATTGTTATGGACTGGTCGAGAATTTAATAGTTCTGACGCAAGAAAGACGGAAATCAGAAGACCACTAGGTTTGCGATGATACTTCTATTTTCCAAACACAAGGAGAATCCAAGTCACACAAGAGTGTGGGAGCAAAAATATATATGAATGTCCGAACAAGTGTGTGAACAAATCAATAGACAGTCTTAACATGATTGACTAATTATAATGGAGTATCGATCCATATATACATAGAAAAATATATCAGACTGTCAACAAACACACATATTATATATAAAATAAGGGGAATATACATTGTTAAAGGAGACAGGTTCATCAAAGTGAAATGGTCACAGACTAAGAGAGCAACAGAAAGAGAGACCACCATATATATATATATATATATATATATATATATATATATATATATATATATATGGATACATATCAAATAGACAACCAATTACATCATTCAGAAGACAGCGTAGCCGCTCACGCAGTGTACGTAAACATAGCTTACAACAGATTATATGCTGGTATCACCGGAAATTTGGTGTGCAAGCTAAAAGGTGCACACAACCATGTGCTTTCCAATCGGTGACGACCGCGGTCGCTGGCCAACACCCGTCACACAGTCGTCTCTTCAAAGTGACAGATAAAATAACGGGAGCACGATTCCTGGTAGATACTGGTGCAGAAGTTAGTGTAGTTTCCCCAACACCCAGCGAACGTTATAGCCAAATCCCGCATTAGTACTTAAGGCGGCGAACAATTCTACTATAAAACCTTTTGGAACTCGAAGACAAAAACCTAATTTTGGTTGCAGTACACCATTCGAGTGGGACTTCGTCATTGCAGATATAACCTTTCCTATTATTGGGATGGATTTTCTTCAGCATTACGAATTGCTAGTCGACTCTAATCGCCATAGATTGATACATAGCAATCGAAAACTATCGATTTCAGGCATCTGCACCGATGTCGAGAGTATCCGCTTGACAGTAGCTACATCAGATCAATTATCCCCGTACGAGATTCTGCTAAAGAAATTTCCTGAACTCACACAGAGCGATTACTCAACAGCCTCTCTCAAAGACAACATAACGCACCATATTGTAACTAAAGGTCCACCTGTCGCAGCGAAACCACATCGTTTAGACCCAGCAAAAATGCAAATAGAAAAAGCGGAGTTCAACAGATTGTTGGATCTAGGAATAATACGACCGTTAAACAGCCCATGGTCATCACCACTTCATATGGTTCCAAAGAAAAACTCAACAGAGATACGACCATGTGGAGATTACCGAGCTTTAAATAAGCAGACGATAGCAGATAGATAACCGATTCCGCATATTCACGATTTTTTCCATAACATGGCAGGTGCTCAAATATTTTCCAAAATTGACCTCGTTCGTGCAGACTACCATATACCGGTCGAACCTAAGGACATCCCCAAAACTGCGGTAACCACTCCTTTTGGCTTATTTGAGTTCGTTCGTCTGCCATTTGGTTCAACTAACGCAGCACAAACATTTCAGCGATTCATCGACCAGGTCCTGCACGGCCTCATATTCGCTTACGCCTATATCGATGATATACTGGTTGCAAGTAAATCAACTGAAGAGCACCAACATCACTTAGAAACTGTCTGTCTGTCTGTTTTCGACATAGAACTTTGCACAAATGTGCACCAGTTCAAGTCGCCACATTCCGTGTAGCACGCGAAGCAAGAGAAGAAAGTACAAGAAAAGCATAATAGAAACAGTGAGCAGAGGTGTGAGACAAAGGAGTAATAAAGAAATACAAAACAGTTTCATTGAAGATCATAAGTCACAGGGAGTGGATGCATCTGCGCCACTGAGAACGATTTTGAGCCATGTCACCAATTGTTTCCAACCATAGATTTTTACCGTCCCAAGGACCCCAGCCTGGAATTCTACACCTTTCTACGTGGCTTAGACCAACTGTTGTGGATTTCATTGACTGATGCCAAGTTTTTGTTTGACCGCCGCTAGCTTTTTTCCAGTCTGACCCTATATCCGCTAACATAGCTCGTCGAGGGATGCGATGGCTTGGCATACGTAACACATGTCCTAACCATCTCAGTCTTTGTAGTTTCACGACTTCGTCGATTGATTTCCCTGTTTACCTAGAACTCTACGCCTAACCTCCATGTTGCTCACCTTATTATGCCACTTTACACGGGAAATAGAACGCAGGCACCTATGATCAAAGACAGCTAGTCTTTTCATATCTTTCACTCTCAGTGGCCAGGTCTCACAACCATAAAGGAGGACGGAGCGGACTGATGAGCAGTACACCCGCCCTTTGGTCGATAGTCGAACATCTCGTCTACGCCAGAGTCGGCGTAAACTAACAAATGCGAAACGAGCTCCTTGTATTCGTGCTGAGATGTCGTCAGAGATCAGCCCGTTGGCACTGGCTGATGGTACTTCCCAAATAAGTGAAGCGGTCAACGTGCTCTACCACTTCACTTCCTATTTCTAATCTAGGAGTCAGTGTAGTCCAGTCCTGTAACATCATCTCGCATTTGGCGGGAGCGAATCGCATGCCAAACATTCGTAGATTGCGGCTCAAGGTGTTTAGAAGACTCTGCATTTCGTCAGCGTCTTCGCCTAGAAGGACTATATCGTCTGCATATTCCAAGTCAACGAGATTATTCCCGGTAGCAAGTCAATCCCTGAGTCGCTGAAGTCACCTAGGGTTAGGTCCATTAACACATCTTTGAACGCTTGGCCGAATATGGAATTGTCGTTAAACCAAGTAAATGTGAATTCGGTAAGAAAACTATACAATTTTTGGGGCACCAGGTAGACAATCAAGGCATTCGACCGATAGCAGAACAACTTCAAGTCATAAAAGAATACCCTATCCTAGGCAGTTTCAAAATGTTACGCAGATTCCTTGGTCTCGTCAATTTTTATCGCCGTTTCATTCCTCACTGTGCACAGCTGGCCCAGCCACTGACAGATTTACTACAAGGTCACACAAAATCGCTGCACATGGATACTTCAGCAATCGAAGCATTTGAAAACCTGAAACATGCTCTAAGCTCAGAAACTTTACTGGTACGTCGAGACACCAACACTCTTATAGCTATTATGACAGACGCATCAGATGTCGCCGTCGGGGCAGTTCTTCAACAATTCTCTGCTGGGAAATGAAAACCTCCATCCTTTCTCTCCAAACCTCTAGACGCTACTCAATCAAGATATAGTGCATTCAGTAGAGAATTACTAGCAGTCTATCTTGCTGTTAAACATTTTCGTCATATGGTCGAAGGAATACCGTTTACTATATACACAGACCACAAACCTTTAACCAAAGCCATGAATGCAAAGCACGATAAGTACTCACCAAGAGAGCTCCGACGCCTCATTTCTTAGTCAACTTCAGACATTAGATTCATCAAGGAACATAAAAACGAGGTAGCAGATGCGTTATAAAGCATCCATATAAATACCTTAGAAAAAGATCAGTTTGACCTTAAAAAGATGGCTAGACTGCAAACTATGGACGAGGATCTGAAAAGACTAAAAAATAGCACGAGTACTTCCTCACGTTTGCAGGATGTTATGCATGATGAAAGCCTAACTATTACGTGTGATGTGTCCAAAGGTGAACTGCGTCCTTTTGTCCCATTTGAAATGCAAAGATTAGTTTTCTCCAAAATACACGGCATTTCTCACCCTGGTATCCGAGCGACAGTTAAACTGATAAGTGACTGATATATATGGCCTAACATGAATCGCGAGATTAAACAGTGGACCAGAGCATGCCTAGCTTGCCGGAAGTCAAAAGCACTACGCCATACAGTTTCACTTAATGGCCAGTTTCCAGAACCTGATGGTAGGTTCCAATACACACACATTGACATCGTTGGACCGTTGCCACCATCTAATGGTTTTACTTATATCTTAACGTGTATTCACAGATTTACGAGTGTTCAGCATTATTACTGCAGAGTAGGGTGCACAATTCGGAAGCCATTTATTCCAACAACTCACAGAACTACTGGGAATCAAACGTACATGTACTGCTGCTTATCATCCTAGTTCAAACGGCTTAGTGGAGAGATTTCATCGTCAACTGAAAGCAGCACTGATAGCAGTGAAGGATGATGATACGTGGAGTGAAAAATTACCTCTTGTACTTCTTGGAATACGCTCGACAATAAAACAAGATATCGAATGTTGTCCAGCAGAATTGGTTTATGGAGCTACTTTACGATTGCCTGGAAAACGTTTCAACCCAGCCACTGAAAATCCAACTGACTATACTACTTTTGCGCAACAACTGAGACAACATATTAGCCTTTTAAGATATCATCCCCAGCGACATCAGCTCAACCAAGCATATATGCCTCAAAAACTAGACGATTGCACTCATGTCTTCATACGACACGACGGTGTAAGGAAACCACTTCAAACACCTTATGATGGACCATTTAAAGTAGCAAGCAGAACAAACAAAATCATCACTGTCGAACGCGGAGGAAAACACGAGAATGTAAGCATCGATCATGTAAAACCAGCTTTCATGGAAATAGAAGTGACTGAATGTTTACCCAAGCCATCAACATCATCTAAAGTTACACCACAAAATGATTCCTGCTCTCAAGATCCAAAACCTAGTATTATTCCGGCTAACAAACCAGAAAGAATCACAAGGTCAGGCAGGCGAGTACATTGGCCACAAAGATTTGTACAGACAATTTATTTCTAAGTCATTTCCATACTTCCTTATTACTGTGCTATTAACTGTATGTAAGATAGAAATCTATTCTGTAACACTTTACAATAACAACCTCATTATTATTCTAATAATTTTTATGGTTTTATTGTTACATTTTGCACAACTTTCTAAACATTTTGGTTCGTTTCAAAGTTGTCAGCATTTTCGAATGTGTACAGTTATATTAGCGAACCTAATAAAACGTAAAATCCTCAATTCGGTTTTCATACCAGAAACTCATATATTTTTCTGTCCTTTTAAATTACAATAACATTCCGAATACAGCTAAGCTTCATTTACCTGCATTCTACGGAACTATTATAGTGACCCATTTTATTACTCATCTTTGTAGCATACTTTCACTGTGTAATTGAACTTTGATTTGTTTATCACTCTAAAGATTGCGTGTTATCAATTAATACTTTTGTACTAACTCAACGTTTTAACTATGATTACTGCAGTAATATATGTTCGTACACCTTCTCAAGTGCCTTTTGATTTACGTTGTGAATGTCAAGTGATCACAAAGTTAGGACACAGTAATAAACGCGAAGAAGTACTAGGATATACGTGTACGCGAGTTTGCTCAAAAAGAGCACCACAAGACCTTATCCTACCTTGTATGTTGTTTTGCGACATGTGAATCTGACCAAACTTTAAGGGTGGTAAGTGTTAGAAGACAACTAACAGTGGAATCATAATCCGAGAAATGTCGCTGTTATTTAACTAAGGTGAATAAGAAATACAGTCATTCACGTGAGGTATTTGTGGGAGTCTATACAATTCGAAATAATAATTAGCTTTTTTAAATGTCTCATCAAACCGCTGCACTGTGTATTATATACAATACGGTTCATCATCTATCAGAAGCTAGGAATGGGGAAATAAAGAAATCCAGGTAGATTTCAGGTTTGATTCATGACGTAGTTTCCACAATCTGAGGAAAAGCATACTTGGGAGTGCTTTACAGAAGTCATACACTTATATACTTTATTGTGAAGAGAATGGGCACAAAAGAAAAACTCACAGAAAAGTACCTACTCTTCAGTCGACATCGTGAATTGTTATAATTCCCTTTACAAACGTAAGAATGTGTTCTTCCTTAAAACTTCAGTGTTATTGTAGTCAGAAGAGTCGGGTGAAAACTCAAAAATTATAATAACTTAGTTCCGCTGACATTATTCAAGAAATCCTAGCTCTTCATAGGCCCAAGTTTAATATAGGCACTCATTCTCTCTAAAAGCCGGTCAATTCTTTGAACAGTCCTCACAAATTCATAAACCTGTCTTTTTTAACACTGTATGTTCACATTAACGCATGTATTTCAACAAGCTATGTCTTCACTAAAGGGATGGAAATGCAATTGGATAAGCAAACAGTAAAAGTAACACTCAGAAAAAAATACACAATGCTCATTATTTAACACATAAACTCATGGGCGATTGACAAATTATACTTATAAAATCATTTCTTTTTACCGTATTTCCTTATTTCGAGATAAAATATGAACATGTATGCTTTCGTTGGAGACTCTGCGTTTACGTAGTATTCGAAAAGAAACAGAGCCATTAAAATTAAAATCAAGTAGCCTTTAGCATGTTGTCCATTTTTCCCTCACTGATATTTTGTACATAATTTACAGTCACCATAGCTCTCAAATACAGGGAATATATCTAACAAGCGCTGTTTGTACAATAAATAAAACAACAATTTTAACATAAGAAATAGATTTCACAGTGATCCAGTGCGTCAACATGAGCACGCCACGGCGGAAAGTAGCTACTAAGTCAAATGCACGAATTAACAATGAAACGCCGGAGGAAATTCCATTTCAGTTAAAGTATTTGTTAATCAAACAAAAACAAAAGTGCTGATAAACTCCTACAGACACAATTATAAACTGTTTTCTAAATAGATACTTAAAAGTAGTCAGATGACAGTAGAAAAACAGATCAAAACACCTAAATCTTTAAAAAGTTAGCAAGGGAATTTCATATGAAGGTTTAGTAAATAAAGATGGTTATAAGATAAAGTGTATAATTCATATATAAATATATAATGCTCAAATCAAAAATCTTTTAATATGAAACAAAAATAGATTTGATGAAAAATATTTTTACATTGATGAATATATTGGGATTTAAAAGCATACTGCTCATGGGTAAGAAAACACATTGTAAATACATGCATTTCTTTTGAAAATATTGTTAATTTTTTAAAATATTATGTAAACAGATACTGAAAGACATTACAACTCATAATATGATAAAAGAATATTAATCGTTAGAATACGTGTTGATAAATGTAGATGAACTTTCATAGCTAGAGGATGAAGGACAAATAGAATTCTGATTAATTGAATTTTCCCAATCTTGAAGGGCTGCTTTACATTGGCTCACAGAAAATTCCGAATTTACTTTAATCCAATCATAATTTTCAATTTCATTTAAGGATACTCTTTGACTAGACAACTTTTTAAGCATCTAGAGATACAAATTTCAAAACTCATAAGTTAACTGATACGTTGTGAAAATGAAATAAACTTTCTAACCCCAACTGTGGAACGTACCAGATATATCAAGTGTGTAAATAGTTTCCTATACGTCTCTATAACTTGACATGAATAAGTACCTTATAAAAGTAAGGCAAAATAGCTTAGTGGTACCGTATCTGATAACAGCACTAATGAGAGGGTTTAGGATCTGAAGATGTAGGTATTCGGATTTAGAACTTGACTCTCGGTCAGTGGGTCTGGAGCTTAATTCCTGATCCACCTAACTAAAGTTGGAAGACTGGGTAGTATCATTACTTCTAAACAATAAGTGTGATTAATAGCTTGGAATATGAAAAATATGTTAAGGATAATTGAGTGTTAACATCATAAGCCTTACTGTAATCTTACGACACGAGTTTCTTTGTTGTTTCTTACACACCTAGGTACAAGTGAACACTGACAAAAACTATTCTACAAAGTATATATATATATATATTATTGTCAAATACGTTGTTTGCGAATATTCCCAGTTTTCGCTACCATACACATGCGATCACAATTTAACACTTGTTTTCTTGACAACACATCTTTCTTTCTTTCTTTACTTCGGCTATCTCCTACGGGAGGATGAGCCGGCTTCATGAACCATGAAGTTTCATGGGAATTGGGTACGAGTGATGTCCCCAGCATCGCTCGACCTTTGTTTGAGAGTGCAGCTCTAGCCTTTACACAACCAAGTGTGACCTAAAAGGCAGTAGGAGTGGAGTAGGGAGTCCACTATCCATTGGCAGCCGGTGACCGGAGTCCGGTTCATTCGCCTTTTTGAATGGGGCGTCATCCAGGGCATCCAATAAGCCCTTTGTCCAAACGTCTGCCGGTGAGCTTCATACGCCAGTCGTTGGAGGTTTGGAATCAGGGTTTAGCCATCTCCCCTAGACTGTCATCCAATGGACAGTCAACCCGGTGAAGAGCGCCGGGCATCCGCTTTTGCCCTCTCACTTTGGTGAAAAACACCTCCGCCACGTGAAGGCAGTGAGTAGGACTTCCTCAGGAGAGGCTATGTAGGACGCCCGGTCATATGGGAGCATTTCAAGAGGTGTACGGAGAGGTGGCCAACCCGCAGCACAAGACACCCACCCCGACCACCCTGAGGCTTTGGAGGCGACACATCAAATATATGTAATTCCCAACCTGTATCCCTCTCCACTTAACCTTATCTAATTCCACTAAAAATCACCAATAACAGCAGCCTGACCTACATAGCACAAAATACGAAATAATTACTAAATTAGAAATATAAAATAATAAAATTCAGACTACACAAACTTACACAATTGATAAGTTCCTTTGCATCTGAAGTTACTGTATTTGGAAATATAACAACAGCCGTTTGAATTTTCTCGGAGATTTCTTCGAAGGTCTCTCCATCGAAAGGCAAGTAACCGGTAAGCATTTCAAAAGTTAGTATCCCCAAACTCCAAATATCTACACTGTGATCATGGACGCACTCCAAGTTAAACATTTCTGGGGCCAAATAGTTGAGTGTACCGAAAGTCGTCATGCGTCTAAATACATGTGCAGTAGAACAATTGACTTACCGAGAAGCAGGTAGATGTACTGAACTGCCAAAATCAGCAATTTTTACTTCACCACGAGCCCCAAGTAGTATATTCTCTGGTTTTACGTCCCGATGTATGACATCATTTTGATGACAGTAAGATAGAGCTTTTGAAAGCTGGTATACATACTAATGGAAAAATTAAAGAGTATTGTTGTATACGTAAAATAACACATTACCTAAGTTTTTAAATTAAACATAACTATCAACCCTTCGGGCTCTACCAAATACAACAAACATCTGCATGCAGCCAGAACTTTTACAATGCTTGTACATGACTATACGAACGCCGGGATAGCATTGAATAATTCCAAAAGGAGCATTCAAAACTCTTAACTATGACGTTTCTAAAACAAAATAAACAAGTAAAAGCAAGGACTTTTTGTTTTACTTCTCCAATTAACTCCCATAGAACCGATATCATGGGTAAGTTCAAAGACAACTAAGTCTACCTCTTCACAGACTCAGCAAACAACAAAAGAGCATTCGAGGACCATGTTTGGATATTAAAAAGCAGATAACTATAATTATTGTGAAACGAGTAATGAGTAAGCAGATAATGAATATGCTTCTCATATTGATCTGGGTGCGTGTTAAGTTCCACTTGTTCTAGAGTCACTAACGTTTTTATAATTCGAAGTTTCATAAACTCTCTTCATATTAAAAATGATGAGAACCACAGAACGAAAATATTACTTCACGCAGGCTGGTCTCAGAGAAAACATCAATAACTCAAAGCTGCTCAGCAGTTACATGCTTTTGCTGTTAATCTTCCACCTATTGTACGATACACCATGCTCTTGGTGCTCCAAAATTTAATAATTGGTTCGGATTTCGAATTCTATTAACAGGTCGTAGCCCAAATGAAATGTAGAAATAAGTACTACAAGCAATTGATGCTATAAAAGTCGTCTCCAAATGAAAATGAGGTAGAACGGCAGAGATGTTTAAAGATGATAGTAATGAATCAGACTAAATTTGTTAAATAACTATAAAGAGATTACTGATTTGTGATCAAAGAAACCTATGCTAGGCGGTGCAATATGTTTAGTAATTGATAAGTTAGGTATATTGTTAGGTATGGGGGAGGGGGAATCAACAGACGGTTTTTATCGCCGTCGGTTAAATAGTTAGAACATATGCTACGCATCCTGACCTACCAATTTCCTCAAAAATTCATGTTAGTTGAAGTAGGACTATTATGGAAATGAGTTTGGAGTGGTCAGACTAAAACAAGGAAACAATCCACTATAGGCTGTAGACATGTAGGGGAGTGCAGTCTATTAGGGTGTACTATTCATGATTTAAGATCCAATGGTTTCAGACTTTTGGCGGCAGGAACCAAAATTATTCGTGATGCTGCGTACGCATTAATTTAGTGTCATCCTACACAATCTGAAAAACTTCACTAATCTCCAGCGGTCTTTCACATCTCTGTCCACTGTATTAAATTTCATTTCCCCACTTTTGTGTTCCTTTTCGCACTGTTGTAACATCAACAAATGCACCGTTGTGCAGTCTTACGTAAATAAACAGTTTTGGGTATAATGAGAAACCCCCTGCGTCCTAAGGATGTCAGTATATGGGCATAGTCGTGTCCTCATACGGAAATGTTAAGCTACAGCAGTCAGCACTAATAACTCAACCGAAGGTCCTACAAAGTGACGATAAAGTGAACAACCACATCAGCCATTAAGAATTCTGTGCATACACTGCGTTTGCAGTTCATTCTTAATCTGGTTTCTCAGTTTTTTTTAGACACTGAGTAATGTTTCTTACTTGAGAAATTTCACTACAGTACTTAGGGAATAAAGTTCTCTCTCTCTCTCTCTCTCTCTCTATATATATATATATATATATATATATATATATATATATATATATATATATATATATACATATATGTAGGTGGTTGAATATAGCAAGTTAACAAATTTACCACATTTATCCTCGCATTACTATAATTTGTTCCAGTTTATTCAGAAGTTAGTTGTGTATGGTTCACTTTGCCCAGAATCATAGTTACATAGAAAACGACAGCTTTCTGTCAGCACAGGTGTTTAAACTTTATGTATCATTCTAAGTCGCACTCCTTCCACGGCTGATATCACCCAGTCGCTCAGATTGAATTAAACGGGATCTAAAACTGAGAACCACTGGCTTAAAATCAGGGATTAGGGCAGATAAGTCACACCTTCACGACTCAAGTATGCCGCTACACGATGTCAAACTACAGAAGACAAGAATCATTTCTGTGTAATAGAAGGATCTACTACACCAAAAATTCTGAACAGCAGAGGCACGTACTGATTTTTCTTCCCAGCCTTCATTTCAATTTTCGTACACGCAGCCATATGCATTGAACACCATCAAATGACCGACAATACAGATTAAAAAAATTGGTCTTTAGGAGTGAATTTGCATGAATAATATTCAGTTAAAGGGATGAGTAGTGGACATAGTAAGTGACCGATTTGTCAAAAATCCTCCAAACTAGAGGTGAATAATATGTTTGGCAATAATTTCACAAAAGACGTGACCGTATTAATTACTTGCAGGAACTTCAACTGGTCATTAAAATTGGGTTCTGTAAGATGTCCAAAGTAACTCAAAGGGCTAGACAATCTCAGCAAAGCAATACTGTCAACGTCAGATACGAAAACTTTGTACACGAAAGCATAAGTAGCTCACCGTTGCGGCACGGACATCCCCAAAGTGACCTAAACGACTGATTTCTTTTGAAAGTTCACCTCTGGGTACATACTCGAGCACCATATATATACGTTTGGTATCGTAAAAATAGCTATACATACGAACAATATTCGGATGTCTGTTTGTAAGAAACGACTGAATAAGACACATACTTCAAGTGAGATTGTATTTCAATTTCACGCTGAACCTGTTTCATCAGCTCTTGACTTACAAGTCGAGATTTTGACAAGATCTAAAAAAAATTAACTTCGGAAAGTGGACAACCTTTAGAGCAATGACAAATCGGCTAGCTTTCTCTCGGGCAAGATAAACGGAGCCAAAGCGACCCTCACCCAGTTTTCTTCCGATATCGATGTCACTGATAGTCCATTTAATCTTAGATCGTCTATATAAGTGTCGACATTCCATTTAACTGCTTATAATGCTTACTTAAGGAATTGTGATGAGTTTGTAGCCTTTTCTGATCCAAACTGATCAGTATCAATATTCTCTGTCGTCTTTGTAGAATGGGCGTTCACGTTTGAACCTTCGAAAGGAGGCAACATACGAACTGTCGTGACCTTCAAAGACCGCCAAAAATTCAAAGGATTAGATTTCCGATGCAACTTAACTTCATTGACACTTTTTTGAGAGCCTCAAAATTAGACAGTGATGTAGAATTTAATAAAACTCCAACCTTGGAGAAATAAATGGACAGTGTTTGCTGCATGCTGCTTAGGCAGTGCATACAAGCTAAGACCGCAAAGTCTTTTTTTGTTCAATGAAATATTAACAGTAAAACATCGATTACCAGAATCAGCTAATGGCTGAGAGTAGATTTATCACTCCATCACATTCCTGTAGCTACCATTTTTTGCGGAGTACGTTCACTGTATTCAAAATTATTTGCATTTCCTAGCTCATAGGTGCATTGCTGTTATCCAATACAGGAGAACCTATTTTGATACATAATTTAGCAGGAACAGCGGGATTATGAATCTAGTAGGATTCGTATGTGCTTTATTATGTATCACAGCCTTTTGAATCATTGTTACTCGGCGAATAATATAAGAGGCGTCATTTTTAAAAGAATAATACTTAGGCATTTTGTGTTCCAATATCCAATATCGTTTTAACGAGCTAGTATAAACCAATTTGATATCTATGTGCTCGCCTCTTGATTGTAAGGTATAGGTTCCTGATCTTCGGCAAACTTCTGCGTAGCTCTTCCCGCCACTTTGACTGTCGTAGCTTTGGTTGACTCCAAAAGGAGTAGTGCTGGGGTTAATTATATGTGGTTTGTAGTATGAGGTGTGTTAAGACTGTCACTACTGTGAATGGAGTTGACCCTTTCGCCAGTTAGTCCTCCGGTATCGTCATCAAAAGAAAAGAGATAATAATAGATATAATTAGCAAAGTTATTCAGACTAACAGACAGAAAAGGAAATAAGAAAACGTAACAACAGTCAGCTGATTAAATTTGAAGAATAATGTGAATCATAGATATATATATATATATATCGGTAATAATGATAATAATAAGTGCGGTTAAAGTTGTCAGGAGAGTAAGACAGGAGAGAATGTAAAGAAGTAAAACGACGAGTTTAATTGTCGACCCCTGAATGGTTCATGCGATTTCAAGGGGATAGGCCATTTGGATGCAGTCCTTGTGTCGCTGCATGGTTGTCCAGGCTTCGCTTAAAGGCGTCCAAAGACGGTGACATAGCTACATCTGCCGGTAAGGAATCCCAGGGATGGCAAACCCGCAGTGAAAAGAAGTGGGAGCGCACCTGGGTCCTTGCCATCTGGTGAGCTATCCTTCTGGGATTTCCACGAGGAAGACTATGCCTAATCAATGGCAGAATACCTTGTGTGGGTGCTTCTGGTCATCTGTTATTCTGTAGGCAGTAATTAAATCTCCCCTAAGCCGACGGTAGGTAAGTGTGAACAGGCCTAATTTCTTCAGCCTTTCATCATACGGCTTATTTCGGAGCCCAACCATTCCTTTTGTTGCCCATCGTTGGACTCTTTCCAATAGGTTGGCGTCTCTTCTAAGCGGTGGGGGTGCAATAATATTATGCACTTCAAAATGTGTGGTCTGACGTATGTTTTGTGCAACCTCAGAAAGACCTCAGGAGTGAGTGCATCTAACTGTCTATGTGTAAAGTGTATGACCACATATGCCCTCGCTACACCCCCGTGTAATTTACGCTTGTGTCCATTTTTTCCGTTTGGACTAGACCTAAGTCGCATTCCGACGTTGTGCAGGATAAGTTTTCATTGTACAGGGTGTAACTTGCACTCTGTAGTCTACAGGTGCGTAACTTCACTACTTTGCACTTTTTCGAGTTGAAAGTTATGCCGCTGGCCACCACCCAGTCTTCCAGACAGTTTAGATCATCCTGCAGCCTATCTGAGTCCTCCGGACAGTATATCGCCCTCCATGTCTTCACGTCGTCAGCGTGTAGAAGAGTCGGGCAGCTTAGACGGCATGGTAGATCGTCGGTAAGAATCAAAAACACCAGTGGTTCTAGGATAGAACCCTGCGACACTCCTGATAACGAGCTGTGCCAAGGTGACCGGACTCGATTAACCTTGGTGCAAAATTACCTTTCAGCTAGCTAGTCCTTTAACCGTGACAGAATTTGCTTACCTATACCTGCCTGGCTTATTTTGTGTAGGAGAAGGTCATGGTGAACAGCGTCAAATGCCTTCTCGAAGACTAGGAAGACCACATGGACCGGAACATTCATATCCCAGCATGATGTCCAATCGTCCCAAGCTGACAGCAGGTTAGTAACGCAGGATCTGCCTTTCTTAAAACCGTGTTGGGCTTCATGGAGTGTATTAAACCTATCGAAATATTCCTTGATGTGACCGTCAATAATACTTTCTAGTACTGTTGACATCACTGGGAGTAGAGCCACTGGTCTATAAACAGGGGAATTTTGCCTATGCTCACCTTTGAAGATTGGAGAAAGGATGCCTCTTTTCCACTCCCTTGGCATTTTCCCGAATCCACTGAGTGTTGGAACAAGTCGCACAGGGGCTTTCAGAGAGCTTCGGGGCACTGTTTCAGAACAGATGGCCTAATAATAATAATAATTTTATTTTCATATGAACATAAATTTACATGAAAATGCATGCCACTTTTACAGGCACGATCAAGTATGTTATAATGTCAAATCTTAAACTGTCTAAAAGTTAATAATGTTTCAACAGTTAAATATTTGATACATATATACATTTACACTCATTGTCTGAACCAGGCCGTATAGTTATTGAATTGTATAGTTGTCCTCCAGGTTGCGGTAGAAAATCGACTTCGTTTCGTTTTCATCCCGTGGTTGTAGGCATACGATAACCAACCAATATTGAGGTAAGTACAACGTTTACAATGGATTGAAAGCTGTTTTAGAAAAGCAAAATCGCTATGGTGAATCATCAAAGTGTAATGAAATAAGTAAGTGAAAGTATCATTAATAAATGCTGTCAATCACGTCTCATAAACCGTTAATGCCCAGCTCTCGCTACGCTCGGGCCCACGCTGTTCTTCGAAGATTTCAGAAACGCTTAGTTATAACGGACGCATAAACCAAAACACTGATCTGCCGCTTGATATTTGTTTATTGTTACACCAACATATAAAAAGAATAAGCGAACTAAGTAAACTAAGGTCCGAAAACAAATATTACAATAATAAATCATTGTATTACTTCTGACGATGTTTCACTCTTCTTTCTGAACAGCGACCGATGAGACGATGACTGTCGTATTGATGCCTCCGCGAAAATTGGGGAAGTTGATTTTGAGCAAACAACCGTGAATTGATCGTTCAATCTTCAACTCCATTGACAAATGCATTTACACAGGAAATACACAGGAAACTATATAATTCCTAGGCTGACAACGTTCATTTGCAATGTATTATACTATCCATATAGGTCGTACTATCATGATATACACTTTCGGCTTTAACACAATTATTTTCAAGCCAGTTGTATTTATTTCATGCCTTTTTTTCTATTTGGTGCACAACCGTACCCTACAGAGAATAGGAATAGAATAAGTCGAATCGAATTCATGTAGAGCTATAAAATCTTAGGTTTAATGGAATATAATGAGGATCAAGTAAAGACGTTATTAGAAAATAAATGAGATGAGACATTGTGAAGTGGTATTTAAAGATGCAAAAATGGATAGCAAGCTAATTTATAAGATGCCCATAAATCTGTGCAGAGCCAATGTGGTCGCATCTCAACAATAGGCTGAGCTATTGGTATATATCTAAAGGTAGAAGCATGATCTGTCAAGGCGTTCATTATTATCTTTTTCAAGATAAAGATCTAAGCCCTCATGAAAATCATGAAAATCTCGAATCTTCAAATTACATATTGCTGTTCCTGCAGAATGGGGTGATTCAACATAGTGACCACCATATATACTGAACAGCTAGCACCACCCTCCCTCCTTTTTTGATGTAAGGCTCTGTGTCAATCACGTCGCATAAACCGTTAATGCCCAGCTCTCGCTACGCTCGGGCCCACGCTGTTCCTTTGAGTTTTCAGAAACGCTTAGTTATAACGGACGAAAAAACCAAAACACCGATCTGCCGTTTGATATTTGTTTATTGTTACACCAACATATAAAAAGAATAAGCGAACTAAGTAAACTAAGGTCCGAAAACAAATATTACAATAATAAATCATTGTATTACTTCTGACGATGTTTCACTCTTCTTTCTGAACAGCGACCGATGAGACGATGACTGTCGTATTGATGCCTCCGCGAAAATTGGGGAAGTTGATTTTGAGCAAACAACCGTGAATTGATCGTTCAATCTTCAACTCCATTGACACTCCCCGGCAAAAAGTGATCCAACCCTTTTTCCTTCACGACCAATGCACGTTGACTTGGATGCCATTGCGAGAACCTGGGTCACACGGACAGAGCTGAAATGGAAAACAAACAGAAAAGCCAACACACCACAAGCATACTCACAGCACAATCTCACACATCAATGACGACCTGCGCCTCCAGACAGAGACCTCCTCTTGACATCTTGCAACACAATCGCCACCTACTAGAATGACTCTTGCAGAATGCAAAGTGACCATAGCACAACCTCACGATACTCTACGCACATCCTCTTATATACTCATTACCAATTACCACTGCAATCGCTGGTCACTCATTCTGCCTCAGTTCTAATAGCGGTGACGCATGCCAGCCTCAGTCGTTTACACTCTTTCTCCCCGGCGTGTCGGACCGCAGCTAACAATTATCTCCGTGTGCATTTCATTCTCAGCAATAGCCTAGCCTCCCCGGCGTATACGACTCATCTGCTGTCCTTAACATCAATCAATTCATTCACGGATGTAGAAGACTAGAAACAACTTCAGAAGTAATCACGACGAAAATTTTAACAAAATTACGCAATAAAAACAAGGTACGAAAACAACGAGTAAACACAATGAGTCCAAAATACACCAATTGCTATGACACACCACACGTATATACAAACAGTACACACAAACTCGCATTTCATGTCTTGATGGAATTCCTTTGAAGAATTGCAGGACTTACACCAGTACGCCTACAACCCTTCTCAGGTTGACGCTCTAGGTTGGAAAATCATCTATTGTTTCATCCTCCGACTCTCTACTCTCAGCACCTTCCAGGAGACACAGTTTTCTGATATCT